CGACGGCTTCCACTCTTCTTCCCCTCGCCTCCGCCGCGCAGCAGCCATATGTGTCGGAGCTCCTTTCCTTCACGCTCGATCGCCTAAACAAGGCAATTTCTGAATATCTCTCACCTGTTGCGTGTTGCACTTGAAAATGGAGTGGCTAAATGCTTCTATCTAGTTCGGAGATGACAATGTCTTGATATTCTTCTGGTTATTCGATCGATGAGCTTGAAGCTTAAACGAAGTAATTCAGTGTCTACTCTGCAATTAGTGACATATCTCGTTCTTTTATAGGAACCGGAGCTTCTTCAGGTTGATGCCGAGCGAATTCGGAGGCAAATACAGGAGGTGGCAGTCGGCAACTACCGAGCTTTCATTGCTGCCGCCGATGCGTTGCTTGCAATTCGGGAGGAAGTATCTTCCATTGTTAAGCATCTCGAATCTTTGGTAACTCCGAAGTTCTCTTACGCTTCCTTCATCTGAGTGCATATGTTCATATTTTGAGGCCTTAATGCAGGGGACAAGTGCAGTTTTTATATCGATTAATGTGCAGGCGATTGTTGCCATATGACTAATAATAGTCTGGAAATTAATCAACTGCAATGGAATTTGCATGGCAATCAAATGCTTAAATCAATATTAAGTTCACTGGTTTGGTAGATAGTATACAAAGTGGAATCACTCAGGTTGTTTGTTTGTGTATTTTTCCTGTTAAAAGATCGACTCTCTGACGTTCCATTTCCCATGCTTGCTTTACTATTATTCTTGCTGATATTGTCATCATTGTCATTACTATGATTATAACTTTTCATTTACTACTTCATTGTTATTGTTATTATTGTTATTTTTAGTGGTAGTAAAATAACTATAGTGGTAGGAAAATAACTATCAAGATGAGGTAATGAAACCAATGGATCATTCTGTTCTTCAGTTTACATGGTTTGACGATTATTTATTATTGAAATATTAATTTCCTCTGTTATAGATATCTGAGATTCCAAATCTGACATCGGGTTGCACAGAGTTTATTGAATCTGCGGAACAGATTCTAGAGAAGAGGAAGATGAACCAGATATTGTTAACACATCACAGTACTCTGCTTGATTTACTTGAAATTCCTCAGCTTATGGACACGTATGTGTTTGATTGCTTGACCTTCGCTCTGGAAATTTTACATTGTTTTAACCAATTATGTGATCTGATTAAATTGATGCATTTATGCGATTTTATCAAATATATGATTATCCATACACATTTCGAACTTGTTCAAGAAAACACGCTACAGTGCAAGCTGCAATAAGCATATGTTTTTTATTTATGTTACAGTGTAAGCTGAAAACAGGTCACAGCACTTCCCTTTGCTGTCCTATGCTTTCTTTGAGGAGGAAGCAAAAGATTTCATTAATCCACGATAAGAATATGTTTTTTGAGCTATTGCTGGCATGTTCCTTTCCTTTTACTTCATACTGTCGTAAATAGTTCTGATATAAATTATTATTGATTTTTAATTTTTTTTTTTTATATTTACATTATAAATCTATTTTAGCCTAATAATAATACTCACCCTATAAAACTTTATGGAGCTGATTTTGGTTGGAAAAATATTACCCTACACTTGTGATGAGTCGACATCCACTAGACATGGATTAATGTACCAACAGTTCTGCTATAATTTTCTTTAGTTAATTGCTACGGACATGGTTGATTATAATTGTAAAATATAATGAAGAAATCATGTACTATAAATTTGAAGCCCGAGCTTGCTTTAGGAATTAATGATAGAATGAATTAATACTTTATTTCATATTATTTCAGTGCTATATTTTTAGAAGATTATGAAAAAGGTTTTTGGTGATTCCATCCTTCTGCAGGTGTGTAAGAAATGGAAATTACGATGAAGCTCTTGACTTGGAAGCATTTGTTGCCAAACTTTCAACCATGCACCCAAAGTAAAAATTTCCTCCCGTTACTCTCCACACCAATTAATTTATAGTTTCGGAAACTAACTCTTTAACAAGCATTTTGATGGGACTCCGTTCTTTCCCATAGAATACCAGTTATTCAAGCCCTGGTGGCAGAAGTCAGGCAGACTACACAATCTCTTCTTTCTCAACTTCTCCAGAAACTTCGCTCAAATATTCAGGTATCTTGCATGGCTTATTATGTTGCATTATGTGATAAAAATCTTGATATGAATATAATAACCATGTCTTTAAAATGGCAGTTACCTGAATGCCTCCGCATCATTGGATATTTACGTCGAATTGGAGTGTTTAGTGAATATGAAATGCGTTTGCAGGTAAAAGTCTCATTTGTTCTAAATCTACATCTTTTCTCATCTTGAAAATTTTGTAAGCATTGTGCTGTTTTAAATTTGTTTTCTTTCCGATGGATTTAATTATATTGGATTGCATTTGCCTTCTTTCAGTTTTTAAGATGCCGAGAGGCATGGCTTACTGGAATTCTTGAAGATCTTGACCAGAGAAATGCTTATGAGTATTTGAAAGGAATGATTAATTGTCATAGGACACATCTTTTCGATGTTGTTAACCAATATCGAGCGATCTTTGCTGATGATACGTCAGGAAATGAAGAAAACTATGACAGTGGGCTTCTGTTTAGTTGGTCCATGCATCAGATTACTTCTCATCTAAAGACACTCAAAATAATGCTGCCAAAGATAACAGAAGGAGGATCCCTATCGAATATATTAGAACAGTGCATGGTAAAATGAATTCCTTTTGACCGATATTTGGTTGACTTATGGAGTTTTATTTATTTATCAACTTTGGGCTCTAGAATCTCAGGGCAGAGTAAAATTCAAAGTTGTCCTCCTTGCTCGTATTTCAAAGCCTAATTCCAAAGTTACGGAAATAATGTGCCCAAGATTCAAAGTTATCTGATATAGTTAGTTTTATAATGTTTGCTTTAATTTTGAAAAATATCCTTCTATATGGCCGAAAGCCCAATTTCTAATTGTAACCTCACTCTACTCTTTTTCTCCATTTGTGTGTGTGTCTGTGTGATGCTTGATTGGAACCGCTAAACTGGGTATTTGGATCATCAAAATAGTATTATATGCACGCAATGCCAGTTTCAATATTATACAATGCGGCTCCAACCAAATGACTTGGATTCCCAGCTACTTAATTTATTTTTGATTTCTCTCTATCATTTGCAGTACTGTGCCATGGGGCTTGGCTGGGTCGGAATGGATTTTCGCGGTTTGCTTCCACCACTTTTTGAAGAGTAAGGCAGTTATTTATTCAATCAATGACAATAAAATGATTTCTTCATAATAATTTGATCTCCTCAGGGCAGTTCTCAATCTATTTGCAAAAAATATGGGTACTGCAGTCGATAACTTTCAGGTAATACTTCAGAAACATCCTTTCCTCTTGAGAAACTGGAACCCCCCCAATTTAATTTTGCTACGAAAAGACTAGTGAGAGTCCCTTCGCTGCAATCAAGATCACTGTCATGTCTAATTGACCATGAAATGCTTATTGCCATGACAGTTAGTTCTGGATTCCCATCGTTGGGTTCCATTACCAGCAGTTGGTTTCACCGCAAGCAATATTGGTGAGGAAAGTCAGGAAGACGTGACTCCACCTTCGTATTTGATGGAACATCCACCTCTTGCTGTTTTTGTGAATGGTATGCGTATGTCAGATATTTGTTTTCCCCATAAATTTTTTCAAGCACATTGAACTAAAAAGAATATTAAAGAGGGTACATTGCAACTGTGCCTCGCTTTTGTAGCCTGATCCATGTTAGTATTAAAGGCTTTTAGCTGCGTGGTGATAGATTCCTTTGAAGCTGGAAAAAAATAGCTGTGGTTTGCATACTTGTTTTTTTTTTTAAGAAATGCTAAGAGTTAACTTCATAGTTTGATACAACTAATTTATTAACCTGACTGTAGTGTTCACCTATGAGCTCAGAATAAGTAACTTGTACTATAAGGTTATTTTGTTGCAATACAATCGGTCTGTTAATTGCATCTTCTTTTGGTGGTATTAGGTGTATCAGCAGCCTTAAACGAACTTCGCCATTGTGCCCCGTTGAGTTTGAAGCATGTGATAGCTCAGGAATTAATAAAAGGATTACAGGCCGTTTCCGACTCTTTATTGAGATACAACACAACTCGCATGCTAAAAGATAATGAGTCTGGACTTTTTCTCCAGCTTTGCCGAGCATTTATCGAGGTGCTGTTTTGGTTTTTGCTTTGCCATTGCCATCTGCAACTTACTCTTCTAAAAGAAACCTCTCATTTTGCACCATCTTCTGCAGGTTGCTTATCCACATTGTGCCACATGTTTCGGTCGCTGTTATCCCGGCGGGGCAGTGCTTATATTAGATGCAAAGAATTTGTACGATGGCATCGGTCGCCTATTAACCGTCTCTTCCTCGAGAGACCTCCCAGCAACAGTCAGTAATGCTGAAGAGCAAGTTGTTGCAGAAAATGGTGACATGCCTGCGCTGGAAAATGGAGCTACACCGGATGCTGATAAGGACCAGAAAAGCCCCCCCTCGCACAGTAATGAAAAACAAAGCGAGGGTGAAGAAGCAGAGCAGAGCAATTAAATCCAGTAACCGATACTTGATTTTGTAGCCTTCCATTAATTTTTTGGGGTCTAATTCTTTTAAACCTTCGTTTGTAATTATTCTCTAGGAAGAGTAAATCAAATTTTCAGCTAAAGTTACGGTTATTACATTCAGTGTATGATAGAGGAAACATACATGGAGAGTTCAATGAAAATATTTTAGTTCCAAAAGAGAAAATCGGACGAGTCGGGTGAATTTGCGTAAAAATATAATATCTTAACTAATTGATGTATTTGAATGAAAATATAGTATTACGAAATCTTTGATTTAAAAACCATTTTTAGTCTTTATAAAATAATAGTTAATAAAAATATATTTGATGAACAAATTTTTAGAACTCTATTTCCTCAGGCTGAAACTATTTTTGAAACATTCAAGTTGGCATTTCTTCGAAAATTTATGGTCAGCAATCAGCAATACGGTGCGTTTTGATGCTTCCTTCCCGCTTGGGCTAGTCGACAGTTAAGAAGCCGCCAAAACGCTGCGTTTTCGGTTCAAAACCCTCTCCAAAAACCCTGATTCAGCTCCGTGGCCCATATTGGCGGCAAAGCCGTTGTAGCTTAAACAGACTCTGCAACTCTTCCCCTTCCAGTTCTTCGATCTGAAGCTCAACAGGTTGACATAAATATTCTGTCTATTGTAGATTCTGTGTGAAGTTGTATATCATCCATATGTTCATTATCGTTATCTCCTTTGAATGATTCTCAATGTTGTGGCCTTTTCATCTTTGCCTGTGTCGTTCTTTCTCGAATGGAATACTCAATCGATGCTCAAATTGTTATAATTGGAAAGGTTAGTTCAAGATTCCATGCTAGTTATTTTGAGAGGAATTTTGCATTGAGTTTCCATTTCTTTTCCTCGGAATTAATAGTAATGTACAGATGATTTCGTGTTCTTGGAATGTGCGATGACTGCGTTATGTTGAAGCTATAAAAAAGATTTGTGTTCTGGATTTTTCTTCTTCATGTAGCTTTGTGGCAGAAGATAGCTTCAAATGTACAACAGCCTGTGGAGCTATAACCTGCAATTTAGAAGATTCAGATATACTCTTCCTCCAATTATGGAGTTTTTTTTTTTTTCTTTTCAATCGCTTGTATTCTAACATATCATGCCAAAGAACATACTGAGTTCATATTCTTGAATGAGATGCAGATGCCTACATATCTCATTCTTGCATAGAAGTATGAAAGAGATGCTAAGAAGTACTGGGATATCTTTACAAAAAGCATCAACACAGAGTAAGTTTCTACTTTGGCTAGAATCTTTCCTCAACTAGACAACTACTTATATGTAATAACTCAGCTCCACTACTAGATATTGTCCATTTGGATCTGTTACGTATCGCCGTCAGCCTTACGATTTTAGAATAGACCTTGGGTGCCGAAGAAGGTGGATTGTGAGATCTTATAAAGGCGTGGAAACCTCTCCTTAATAGACGCGTTTTAAAAACTTTGAGGGAAAGCTTTTAAAGGAATAGTTTAAAGCGGACAATATCTGCTAGTGGTAAACTTGGGCTGTTACATGATTGCCAATTTTGAATCCTACGGTGTAAAATGAGTAGCTGCATATCTTGTCATTGATTTGTGGGCCAAGTGTCCTTACTGGCACACTACCTCATGTCTACACCCATTCGAGGAACAACCTCCTCGCTGGCACATTGCCCGACGACTGGCTCTGATACCATTTGTAACGGCCTAAGTCCACCGTTGGGAGATATTGTCTTCTTTGGATTTTTCCTTTTGAGTTTCCCCTCAAGGCTTTAAAACGTGTTTGCTAGGAAAAGGTTTCCACACCCTTATAAATGGTGTTTCGTTCTCCTTTCCAATCAATGTGGGATATTACACTAGAATAATTGTTTGGGTAGAGTATCGAAAAGTTCATCGCCCAACTATATAGCTTCATTTTCAGCTGATGTTCGCTTCTCTCACCTCAGATAGTTTTGAAATTTACTTATACTTTACAATTTGATCGTTTTCTATTCCTATGCTTAGGTATAACATTTATAAATAAATAAAAAAAAACTTAGTTATAATACATTATTTACTTCCATTTTAATTTTTTAATTTTTCAAGCCCCGAGACTCCCAGGACAAAGAATGGAGCAATGCTGTCGGTTGAACACGACTTGAGGTTTAATTGTAGCATTATTTATAAGAGTATGAAAACCTCTCCCTAGTAGACATGTTTTGAAATTGTGAGGCCGACAGCGATACGTAACAGGCTAAAGCAGACAATATCTACTAGCGATGGGCTTGAGCCGTTGAAAAACTTGGCTTTAAGTTGACAAAAGATTGGTTTGCTTATTGCAGACGCATAAAGACTTCAATGAGAGCCATGTTGCTGCCTTTGTTTGTGATCTTACTGCTGATAACTTGAGAAACCACATTTATCCATCATCGATTCGTAGTAATGATGGTAATTTACTGAAGATTTCTTAGTCACAGTCTGAATTTAAAGTATTCTCGTTATTTAACTAGATTAGTATGTTGATAAACTATTCTTGATCAAACAGATTTTTATTGTGTCTGCAGTTTCCCCAGAGAAGATGTCCCAGGTGTGGCATAATCTAGCACTCATTGAGTTCCTACGTTTTTCACAGGTATCGCTATGAACGGATTTGTTCTATGCACATGGTGACTTTGCTTGTTAGGAACCACGAACCTCTGCAATAGTATGATATTATCCACTTTGAGCCTAACCTCTCGTGGCTTTGCTTTTGGTTTCTCCAAAAGATTTCATACTAATAAAGATAGTGTTCTTTACTTATAAACTCAACAGTAAACTCAACGTGGGACTACTCCTCTCAATAATATTGTTCACTGCGTGTGGTATCTGTTTTAGTTCAACTCATGCCTAATTGACTCGTCTCATCGTATGATATCTGAAGGACCTCTTCCTTTTAGATCAAAATGCTCAAAGTAGAATTTTCAAATGATAGTGTAGCTAATATATATTCAATGAATCATTAATACTCAATGTCTTCATTAAATTTCCTTTTAACTGAACCTATGAGATGTTTTAATTATTTGATACTTCAACGTTTATATTATCATTTCCCTCTGTTTCTGTCGGTCTTTATATAAGATTCTTATGTTCCTTCCCCTTAGGCTTCTACTGCAAAAGAGTTGTTCTAGATCTCGTCTAGTAAGGATACAGAATGTGCATTGATTCTTTGCCACGTCCTGCGTCGAGTCGATGAGCCAACGATCGTTTCAGCTGCTAAACGATTCGGTTTTGTCCCAAATCATTGTGAGTTCTTGGTTCACTGATAGATACTAGGATATCCCCAGTACTGCTTTGAATATTATGTATTTTCATATTTCATATCAGCTTTCCTTTTAATATATGTCAAGGGGCGTAGAATCATTATGTGAAGGTTTTGAGTTGATATTTAAGCTTTGTTTAAGATGGTAGAGCATTTATTTGTACAAAGGGAAATGGACGTGTAATTTATGAAATACCCTGTGTTTGTGGACTGTATATGATTCTTTTAGATGCATCATTAGCTTCTGAACATCCTAACTATACTCGGTGAATAGCAATGTCGTTCGATCAGATGAGATCAAAATTTAAGTTTCGTTTAATAACTATTTGGTTTTTGAAAATTATAACTACATATTCTCATATTGTACTATCTACTTGTCACCGTTGCAGTTTTGATGCAACGGACTTGCAGTTGTGTGACACTCACTCCCCGACAATAAATGAGCTAAGCCAATTCGTTCTTCCGTCGCCTACAACCAAGTGACGTATGCTCGAGTCTCTGGTCCCGATTTAAGAAGAAAGTTTTAGAAAATGGGAACAGAGAGATTTCGAAACAGAGCTTTGAAAGTAAGATTTGAAAGATTGAAATTGATGTTAATGTGTGATGCAAACAAACAGGCAACAACAACGGATTACATCATATGATTATCAAACTGAACCTTAATTATTTGCATCAGTCCATTCTTCTTCCGATCACGTTTCTTCGATTTCTTTTCTCGGATACCTTCCTCTACGAGACGTATGAATCTCCGCAGCTTCCTTCCTTTTTTGAAACAAAATTACAACTTTTGATAATGAAAACATTTGTATAGCAAAAATTTAAAACATTTTTTTTAGAAGTTTGAAGTCATATTCTAATAATTACAATAAAACTTAAAAACCCAAGAACAAAAGGCAAAACCCAATTCAAAAAAACCCCAAAATTTTCATTTGAAAAACTAGCTCACCACAATGTTACTATATTAAAGTGGAACATTGAAGAACAAAAACATGTTTTAAAAGAAGAAATTGTCGATGAACTTGCAAGTAAAACCAATACCAAATATAAGTAAAGGGTTCTTATTTGCAATAAACCACAAGTAACGTGGTAGATATCAAATTCTCTTTTGAATATATACTGAGTTAGCATGGCATTGGACAAGTTATAGAACAGATGTTGTTCAAGTAACGTCATAGATATCACTTTTTGAGCATCATTTAGCGTAGAATAAGTTCTTCTCGAGTATCTATTCTGAAACAAACAAGCACGAAAAAGCTATATGCATCCAAATTCCAAAGCTCCCCTATTTAGAAACATCCATAGAGATTGAAAATGGATCAAACAATCAATCAATTTATGTGATCTCTTAGAACATTACACCCACAAATCCAAAGAAGAATTCAAAGAATTCTCCACTTTCTCCTTTAATTATTATCAAAACCAGCATAAGAAGAAAGAATTAAGGGAAATTAAAGTGCTTTAATTACACCCAATAACACACAAATTAAATAAGAACCAAAGAACAAAGATCAAATCAAAGAAACCCAACAGGATTTTACCACAAACAAAGGAAAAAAGCTCAGATCTTTAGGTAACCCACATGGTAATTTTGCTGAGAAATGTTTCATTTTCACTTGGACAAGACAAAAAAGGTGAAGACTTTAGGTAACCCACATGGTAAAAAACATGAATTCAGTAAAAAAAATATATAAAAGAAGAGAGAGGGGACATGGTGGGGTGACAGATAGAGAGTAAGCACAGAAAGCTTCAAGCATGAACCCTAAGATGCAAGAAAGTACCTTATGTGCTCACTCTCTTCTGTCACCTCCTCCTCCTCCATCTTACCCTAAACTTCAATTATCAACATATTTCTTCTTCACCTCATATCCAATGGAAATAACAAAATAAACACAAACCCCAAAAGCTGTCCCACAAAATTGGAACAAATTGAGGTCTGTGGCTGAGTTGTTGTGTGAGGAGAGGGGGAAGCATTGTGGGTTTATATAGAATTCTAAAACTCAACCCATTTACATCGCTTAACCTAAACTATAAAAGTCCAAGCCCACTGTTAGAGAGATTTTTATAAATGTTTTGTTCTCGTCTCTGACTAACGTGGGATCTCACAGTTGGATTGAGTTAAATTTTTTTTTTTTTTCGATTTAATTGGGTTGAATTTTCGAAAAATCGAGAATTTATGTTCATTTACGAGTTGACTTTTTTTTTTGTTGGGTCGATGCTACCCACCTGAAAATATATGATTATTTGGGTAATTAATAGGCTAAAAAATGATGCCCATTACATGAGATAATTGAGATTAATTAGGGGATTAAAGTGAGTATTAAAGAAGATTAAGAAAATAAAAAGGAAGCTACGATGAATGGGCCAATAAGATTTGAACAGAAGGGCGCCAAGGCTCTAAAGCAACTTAATTAAACTATTTATGCTTTATAATTATTTAACCTAATCATCATAGAATCCTTAAATAATTTTATATTTTCACCATCATTAATTTTTGTATTAATAAACATAAATATCAAACTAAAATAACAAAATATGGGTTTTTTTTTATTTATTATTATTTTTTTTTTCTAAAATGGAGAGACAAATTTAATGATTTTTTTTTTTTACCCAAAAGGGAAGGTGTTTGTCAACTTTTCATGGAAGCTTTCCTTTTTGGGATAGTGGAAGATGACAGAATGCATGCTATGGGACACATATGATGATTCTTCCCCATCACCCATCTATATATATATATATATATATTACTAATTTTTTAAGTGAGAGACTAATAATGGTGGCAACTGGCGAGACTCGTAAAGCTGATACATCTTTTCGAGCTTAGCTTTAATCAAGTCTCTATATTTTAGAAGTTCTTAATTTGACCCGTTTGAGCTTAGTTTCAAATCTATAACAAGTTTCGATCATACATACATAATTTAACCAGTTGAGCTAGACACCAATTCGAGAAAATGTGATACCATTTGTAACAGCTCAAGTCTACCGCTCACAGATATTGTGCGGTTTAGTTTATTACTTGTCGCCGTCAGTCTCACAGTTTTAAAACGTATCTACTAGGAAGAAAATTTCATGCCCTTATAAGAAATATTTCGTTTGCCTCTCGAATCAGTGTGAGATCTCACAATCGGGTCGACTTAGTTGACGAGTTGGTTTTTGGGTTAGAATAAGGAAACCCCACTTTTAAGGGAGGAATTGAATAAGATGGGATGGCTATAACGACCCAAATCCACAGCTAGCTAGCAGATATTGTTCTCTTTGAGTTTTTCTTTATAAAGGGTGGTTTGTTCTCCGGACATCCCAATTGACAAAGCTAGCAAATGGGGTTAATGGTAACCCTAATTCGAGGCAGAGTTGGCATTTATATATATATATATATATATGAATGGGCGCATGCACTTTCGGCCATAGGTGGCCATGCGAGTCCAGGACAGAACGTGGGGGGCGGTGGGCGGTGGGCGGTGGGCGGTGGCCAATGGGCGATGTCCAAAGGCAAGGGCATATGAGTTATTGGGTTCTTTTGTTTGTTTAGAATCATTGTCTCAGTGGTCCTAAAACGTTCCATTTTGTATGGTTGGGGTTCACTTTCTCCATTTCTCAACAATGGAGAATTTCGTTCTCTACAACATCATCACAATCTTAGCTTACCTTCCCTCCTTTTTTAGATACTTCAATAAATTATCCAACTTTATATTCCATCTTACAGATTTTAAACAAAGGGTCGAGTTTTTATATACTAGGTACCCTTTGGGTCTAGAGTTACGTCTAATTATACTCCTATCGTTTCAAACTTTAATACCCATTATTCGAAATCTTCAAATAAAATATCGTCTTGTGTGATATCTGTTCGAGTTTTATTCAACATGTTAGTGGGTCTGCTTAAAAGAATAGTGAAGAGTGAGTAGACTTTTGAAATGAGGTTAAGCATATATTATTCGCTTTGGCTCGTTATGTATCGTCGTTAGCCTCACGGTTTTTAAAACACGTCTATTAGTGAAAGGATTCCACACCCTTGTAACGAATTCTTCGTTCCCTCCTCCGATTGATATGAGATCTCATAATCCACCTTCCTTGGGGCCAACGTTCTCGCAGACACACCACCCAGAGTCTGACTTTGATACCATTTTTAACCGCTAACAAATATTATCCGCTTTGGCCTATTACTTATCGTTATTAGCCTCACGATTTTTAAAACACGTCTACTAGATAGAGATTTCCACACCCTTGTAAGGAATTCTTCATTTTCTTCTCCACCGATGTGGGGTCTCTCGGGGTTCAATATTATATTTGTTTGAGAAAAGATGAGTGAACCAATACCGCATCTGAATAAGATGATTGGAGTAATTCTATACCAATAAAGTGCATTTTTCTCTTCGATGACTTAATCATAAAGTTTCATAGTTAAGCGTGATATTCTATAAGTATGAGTGAGAACAAAGCATGCTGAAATGAGTCTAGTTAGTCGGTAGAGATAATAGTCTTTACTCTGACACATAAATAACGTGGTCATATTAGGACATAATAGAAAGAATTTTATAGCGTCTAATTTCCATTCTAATTCCATCCCATTTCTCATCCACGGAATAATATTATTATTATTATTATTATCAAATCAGTTAAAAATAATAATAAACGGAGAAAAAAAATCCTCTAATTTTCATTCCCTCTTCTTTAAGTAAAGATGTCCAAACCAAATGGGCCATGAAATGGGCCCTGAAACAAATAGAAATGGGCCTGAAACAAATAGAATTAGGCCCAATTTTGCCCAAACCAATGGGCCTCGCGTCCATATTAGAAATGGGCCCTCAATTCCATGTCAATTTTTCTACTCAAATTGTAATTTAGATAAATGACGCTATTCATAATTCAACTAATTAAAGATGAAAAAGAGTTGAAAAATAGGCCAAAGACACAAAAAAAGGTAAAAAAAAAAAAAAAAAAAAAGGCCACATCAGCCAGTAACCGGTTGACACGTAGCTGCCAAAGGACTGGAGGGGCATCTGATCCGCACGTGATTAGCCCACCGGCTTTCATGGGGTCGTGGCCTGGTTTAGTGAGAAATGAACAAGGCAAAAAGAACAAGGCAAAAAGAACAAATTTTTGTCGTTGGATGCAAAGCTTTGACGTAAATCTCAGTTCATCCTCAAACCTTGCCGTACCCTTTTCGATCTCTTGATTT